CATCAGCAGGATGCCGCGGGTGACTGCCCACCCACTCATGTGGCGTGGTTAGGGGATCAGTGTAAACAATGACAAAAACCGGCGAAAAGTCATCCTAGGGGAATCCCGATTCCCCAAAACCCCATTAAAGTGACACCTACACTCATGTTCAAATTAACCAATTCGTGCATCATGCAACATTGCCTCCTTGCCTCAATGCTACTTCAACACCATCACCACCTACGCCACCTGATTGGTGATTAGTGTAAAGAATGAAAAAAAACCCTGCAAAATGTCATCTTAGGGGAATCCCGATTGCCCTAATCGCGTCAGTTAAAGTGCGACTTAATCTCCCTGAAGGCCAACACTTATATATATATGAGGAAGGTGTGACTGTAACATGACAAACGAAAGCGGATTAACAAGGATTAGGTTGTCACCAGGATGACGTGGGTGACTCACTCACCGATGTAAAACGGTTAGGGGAATAATGTAAAGAATGAAGGAAACTGCCAAAAGTGCTTCACGGGATGTAAAACTACTTTTATTCACCAGTCAATCTAACCGATTCACTAAAGCGAACTTTAAAACTTTCAATGCAACATAATTTGGTAAATCGACGTACTTATCTACAACCATTCCATTTCAGCGTGTGATCTAGAAGGAGAGAGTTTATTCACGAACCGTAGATACGACATGATTCCGGCAGACACACAGAACAGGACGCGGAATAAGTCTGGGAACTTCTAGAAGGATTTATCCGACTAACGTTACAAGGCGATTAGATAGGGGAGAAGGAGTCAACTTGTTGAAGTATTTCAGAGGAGACGTTGGAATCCAAATCCTACTTATTGGGCAGGTCTAAAAGAGAAGGAATATAAGAAGAGGTTACCAGGCATGGAAGTTTATCAATGGCATGAGAAGTGGCGTGTGTGACAGAGCCCCTACAGTCTTCAACAGTCATTCCAAGCACCATCGGTGGCATTAATGCTGTAGAAGAAGAAGAAGAAGAAGAAGAAGAAGAAGAAGAAGAAGAAGAAGAAGAAGAAGAAGAAGAAGAAGAAGAAGAAGAA